AATCATCTACATTGAAAAAGGACAGATAATAGTACGTTTTCTCCTGAAGTTATTGAATTTATGATTGATCATTCTAACCAATTCATTCATAATCTTATTTCATTTTCTATTTTATAGAAGTTCTTTTAAAGAAGATAAACAATTATGATAATCAGTTAGAAGGTTGCCAGGTTCAGTCTCAGAATATTCTCTAGATTTGGAACTGAGTTTTTGCCGCAAACTCAAATATTCTAATCCCTAAATCTTTGCACAGAGTGGTGTAAACTTTTTATATAACAAACTTGGAATATTTTACCAAAATAATTCAAAGTTTGAATACAGTTCCGAACTTTTTACATTAAATGTTTACATAGCCTTTAGACTTGAGAATTCAGAAAGATAAATTTTTTTTTTAAATTAACCATAGAAATATACAATTTCTACAATAACTCTTTTGGTTTTATTATTCCTGACTTCTGTGATTATTCGCCAATCTGTTCTTTTAAGGTACAGGGTATCACAAGTAGAAGTAATGTTCTTGTAAGGTACAGGGTATCACAAGTAGAAGTAATGTTCTTGTAAGGTACAGGGTAACCCACAAAGAATGAGACTGTAAATACCATATCAAACTCTTTCCAAGAAATTAGGTAAATCTGCCATGAATATATGTGTGTGGTTGACTTATAAACAGCCCTAGAGATTGGATATTTAGAAACTTCGTGCATAAAAGATGATTCCTATTTGATCTATGATCTGTCGAGTCATGATTTTTATTAATAAATGTACTACTGTGTATTACACAGGGAGTAAGGAATAGAAGGGAGATATACAACTGACGCGGTTCGCCCTACCATATGATTATATTTATACATGCTTTGCAGACGGAACTTTATTTGAATAAGAAATATTTGTCTGGTGTACAATAACCGTGTATATAAAAACCTATTCTGAATATTTCGTATACAAATGGATTACTCGTCTGCAAAGCAAGTATAATCATGGGCGAACTGCCTCAGTTGCATCTCCCTTCTATTCTTTACTCCCTGGTATTACACTTCCCCTTTGGCTTGATCTAGCTACTAGCTATATATAGCTATATAGCCATATATAGCCATATATAGCTATATATATAGCTATATATATTATATATAGCTACATATCCATTCAAAATTATCCCTTTCACTGTAGAACGGTATAATAGCAGAGATTTTAATGTGCATGTAATATATAAATCACTAGGCTTTTAGACCACTTTGCGCCCATCTTCTCAGAGGCGCAATTAGCACTTTTTCTAGGAGGGGGGGGGGCAAAAGTATATTTTGTATTGGTCTGGGGNATGATAATCAGTTAGAAGGTTGCCAGGTTCAGTCTCAGAATATTCTCTAGATTTGGAACTGAGTTTTTGCCGCAAACTCAAATATTCTAATCCCTAAATCTTTGCACAGAGTGGTGTAAACTTTTTATATAACAAACTTGGAATATTTTACCAAAATAATTCAAAGTTTGAATACAGTTCCGAACTTTTTACATTAAATGTTTACATAGCCTTTAGACTTGAGAATTCAGAAAGATAAATTTTTTTTTTAAATTAACCATAGAAATATACAATTTCTACAATAACTCTTTTGGTTTTATTATTCCTGACTTCTGTGATTATTCGCCAATCTTTCTTTTCAACTGCAGAAGAGGGGGCGCGCGCCCCCTCTCAGTTGCTAGGGGAGGTCAAGGGCCCGGTTGCCCCCCCCCCCTAGTTGCGCCTCTGCATAGCTTCTATTTCTACTTTTGTCAAAAAAATTTGGAAACCAGCTTTTGAAGTTCTGTTTATATAAAGTTTGACTCCTTCATAAACCTTCCCTTGGGTCATGTGAGCCCGCACACAAAAATGTGGGCCCAATTGGTTCAGCCGTTTTGACGTTTATTAGTAGCAACCAGACAGACAGATATGCGTACTTTCAAGTGTCCTTTGAGGTTGAAGATATCATAATTTTTTCTAGGATTAAAGTGTTTAATTGTGATAATTCCTTTATGTTTTCTTGCAGTAAAAATGCGTGTCACTTTTTTAGAGAATAAATAATCAGTTTTCAAAATTATAAACATTGATATCTAAGTCATACTTGACAAGAGAAAGCTTTTAAGGGTACCGTTGTGAATCAAGCATTGCCATCTTTGCACTTGAAATTACGGTCAGAGTCCCTTTAATAAATTATTACCAGTGCACTTAAATAGTGTAAACTATTTTGTATTTTAATTGTCCACATAAATTGTTTCCTCAAGAATGTACAACAGAAATTTGAATCTACTTCATTGTTATGAACAATGTGTATCAATATTTATAAAGTTTTAGTCATAACACTTTTAACCGGTTCTTTTCATTTGTGGAGAATTGAAGATCAACGAGTTTTATTTTGTTCATCACCGTTCATTTCCGTTGATTGAAAGCCTCTGCGCATCAAATTCACAGTTTGAAAAATTCGCAAGTCATGATTATTTAAACTGTTTTGTATTTCAAGATTGAAACCTTTGTTAAGAGAAGAAATCTGCAATTCATGGTGAGTAAAATTCCTCTTTTGCTTCAGTAGGGAGGGGATTCATGGCTGTCATGAGCCCCAAAAAATGGTCTCCAAGCCTCTGGATTCGCAAATGTTTTGCGACCAAATCTGGCAGCTTTAAATATCTTAAAGTATTAACCTAGTCATAATCTGCTCTGGGGTCTGATTGGAACTAGCACTAAAAACTCTAAAAACTAAAATTGTTCCATTATTGTTCCTTTTTTCTTGTATCGTTCCGTTCCATCCCATTCTGAGTAGAAGAACGGTCTTTCCGTTCCGTTCTTGGCGTTCTTATTTAAAGAACGGTTCCATCCCTCTCATTCCGTTCTTAGGCAAAGAACGTTTCCTCCCCCCCGTTCCGTTCTTAGTATAAAACGATTACTAAAACCGAGTTACCTTAAAACAAGGGGGTGTACAATTTGAAGATTTTTGAAAAATATTTTATTTTCATAATCAATATTTCAATAATATCAAAAAGATATAGAAATTAATTATAGAAAACAATTTCTTTCAACCTAAATTCCCCCACTCTGACCGAAGTTTCCGCTATCTCAAGTTGCATTGCCTTAGTTCCATTGATAAGCCCTGTCGTCCCAGTTCCCAGATCTGCTCCACCAACTTGAAGCTCTACAACACTTCCATGAGGCGCCATCTAATATCCATCATTAATTCCTTTGTTAATTTCTAAATCAACCAATTTTAACTCCGCTTTAAATGCAAATATTTCAAAACTTTTGTTTTATTAAATAAATGTTAGAAATATCCATTTAGATCTCTTTTATTTTATTATAGTGACTTTTAAAGTCAACAATATTATTGTGTCTAATGTCATTTACAATAATTCTATCTTTCAATTTCGGTTCACTACATACAGAGAAAATCTGAACTGGAAACACATTCCTGAATCCTGATTTAAAATGCGTTCCCAACTTAGAACGCATTCTTGAAAATAAGAAGGCGTTAACGATTTTAACCGTTCTTTTCAAGCATTTCCCGTTTCCTTTCCGTTCCGTTCTTTTACTAATCGATCCAAAATTTTTTTTTTCAGAACGATGGGATAGTTCTTGACTGTTCCGTTCGTTCTCGGGAAAGAACGATCGTTCCACCAGGAACGCGCCCAGCCCTACTTGTTCCCCACAGGGAATAGGAATAAAGGGAAAGGAAATGGCAGGATATCTGAATCCCTCCAGTAGAATTATCAACCCCTTGGAAGGATAACTGAATCCCTCCAGTAGAATTATAATCCCCCAGATTAAGGATATCTGAATTCCTTCAGTGGAATTATATGCCCCTAGGAAGGATATCTGAATCACTCCAGTGGAATTATAAACCCCCAGGAATGATTTCTAAATCCCTCCAGTGGATTTATAAACCTCTGGAAATATATCTGAATCCCTCCAGTGGAATGTAAATCACCCTGGGTAAAGTTTTAAATTGTAAAAAGCATTTTTTCAAACCCCTCCAGTGAAAATGAATTCCCTCCAGTGGTCTCCAGTGAAGTCAAAATCTTACTGCAAACTTCAGTGACTGCTTTATCTTTTTTTATTACTCCCTTGAATTATAAATATATATGTATAAGCTTAGTTAGTTGTAAATGGAATTAATTAATTAATTATTTATTATTGGTTACAAATGAAAATATTAGATAAGACATTCATCCAGTAAGCTGTGTGTACTGTGTAGGGATGGATTGTATTCATTTTTTTTAAAACAATTTTTTTGTTATGAAAACGATGATGAAAAAACTAACATCGTTTTTATAAACAGTCAATTAAAAACAATATTTATTAAAAATTACCGTTTTTTAAAGTTTGTTGGGTGTTAACGATTGTTAACGACAACCATTCAATAATGATTACTAACAAAGAGAGAGTGAGAGAGTAAACCAACTTTAAGGGCATCAGTGCATATTACTTAGTAGTATTTATTTAATTATAAATAGGTTTAAACTCCCCACATCTTTTTAGGGATTTATCCTCTTCCACATTAAAAAACGTCTTTTAAATGTGAAAATGTCATTTATAAATAAAAAATTTTTTCCAAAAAAAAATGGTTTTAAAAAAAATCATATAAAAATTGCATACTTTTTTTTCTATAAAAATGATGGTTTTCTAAAAGTTCAAAATGAGTTTCAAAAACTTCCAAAAATGAAATGAAAAATGAAAACTGCTTCTTTATGATTGTTTTCATAAATAAATAACAACCCTACTGTTTGTCCCTAATTAAAATTTCTGCCATAAACTTGTTCTTCTATATAATCAACCCTGTTTGGCCATATTTCTATGATTTCAGGAATTTCAGGTGGGATTGGTGGGTGGGGGTTTGCTTAGAAAATTGTGCAGCACAAAAACTTTTTATAGCATTGTTTGATAGAAAGACTGAACCAATGAAAAAGAGTGAAATATGTTTTAAAGTTAGAAAACATGGTGACGGTAATAAGAATTTTAAAAAAATTTTAAAAACAAAATGGGGAACAATTTAATTCTCTGTTTTATTTCTGTTTCTGTTTCATTAAGTTAAATAATTTGATTTATTTACAGTTGTATGCAATAACTTTGTGACGTTCAGCTGTTTCCAATGTGGGGCCCTGGCGCCAACTGGTACCATCAAAATGCCATACTTCTCCATTGTCCTCGTCCTCCATAATTAACTCATCACCCAAGACAACAAGATTAGGATGATAAAAATAATCCTCCTGACCAGCTGGCTTTTCAGATATACCAGGTGCCAAACCATCTCTCCAGGTCCTTGTTTCCAGATTTAGAATTTCCATGTGTCGGCAAATGGCCTCATGGGATGTGTCTGTAAAGATTTTTCATTAAAAAATGTTGATTTTACAAGCCATGAAGGACATCAGTCTACTTTTGATAGATTTGATAAAATTCTGTGTTGATAAAATTGTATTTAATTAATCTATACATTCTTAAATCCCCTGGCTGATTCAGAATTTCAGGGAAACTTGATAAAAGCATGTCTAATTCATTGGTTTCAAGGGGTAGTGGTATAACAATTTCATGAACTTAAGAAACAGGAGAATATTACAGTTAAACATCCAGTGGATTTATTCTCTGAGTGGTTTAATTTTACCTAGAACAGGAACAGAGCCATTTGAACCAGGAGCTGCAGCTGCTTGAGAAGCAACTATTGGACGAGGTCCCCCAGTCCATTGATAGTCTCCACTTCCTCCTCGATGGTCGTGGTCATCCCCACCAAACACATATACTTCATTCTTGTACAATGCACAACCATGATTATACCTTTAAATATCATAGTTGATTTAATCAGAAATAATCCTGTCACTAATTAAGCAGGAACACAGGTTTTTTTTGAGTAAGTTATTTTACTTTTGACTAAATTTAGGGGTTTTTTTCTCAGAAAAAGTTTACATTTGAATTATAAATTATTATAAATGAATTGACCTTCCACGTTTCAAATTAGGTATTTGATCTCCAGTGAAGCCTTTCTAAAGGTGGTAGGTTTGAACTTGATTGCCAACAGTTTGTCCTCCATGTTTTCCATTTGTGTTATCACCCGCAATGAATAATATTTCCTTGTCACTAAAATAACAAGAACCACAGTCTCTATTGAACCATGATTACACTACATGCCAACATATAGCTCTTTTAAAACTATGCATACTCATTTTTAATACCTTATAGCTACAGCACAGTGAGCTTTTACAGGTATTGGTAGTTTGTGTTCAAGAGTTTCCCATTTCTCTCCTTTGAATATTTCCATGGAACTAAGCAACCTACGAACATAACTCATTTTATTTTATCTTTAAAAAACTGGATTATTTTAAAACATTATGCATAAATTATATATCTATGTGTTAATATGTTAATTTCACTATAATAAAAGAAAAAATATGTTACTATTTTAACTTAGTACTTATTAATCATGATCTTTAAACTTTTGACCTTGAGATTGTTGGATATGGGACAGTTAAAAGGCTAGTTGAGTTTTTCATTTTAAGCTTCTTTGTTTTAAAAAGCCCAGGACCATCTGATTTTAAATTATGTGTCATATGTTCTTTTTGGATAAATGTTTAAAACAGTTTATGAAAGGGGGAAGGGGTGGATAAAGAACTAAATGGTATTTCACTTACCTGAATCCTTCATTATTCCTACCACCAGCCACAATCATACTATTCCCTATGGTGGTCATTGTATGTTTTGATCTTGGTGTATTCAAGTTTGCACTTTTTACCCAGTTTCCTCCAACATTCTTGTAACAGTCTGCAGAATATCTAAAAAATAGATCAGGATTTTTATGTCGATAATCTCTGTATAAATAACCATCAAATAGATCAATTTTAAATCTTCCTTAGAAGCATACCAACATCTATGCATACCAAGTAATAGGGGCCATGGGCACAGGTTAAAATCATAAATAATAAAAATGGTAAATAATAAAAATTATCTTGCTGGCCAATCTGAAAAGAGATGTTTTCCCCTAATAACATAATTCAATAATTGACTACCCTTATTTCCAAATTTCACTTTAGTATTTCTCTATTTTCTAAACTTGCCCCCTCCAGTAGATTTACAGGCTATTCTATCTATCTATCATATGTATAAAAAGGGTGACTCATGCATTGCATGATTAATCTATCTATTGATCCCATTGTCATAGTCAAGGTTGTCTTTTCTAAAAAACTAATTTTGTCACCTTTATTTATACTTATGCTATCGAATTAAAATGGCAAAAATAGCCTGTAAATCTACAAGTCTAGTCCAGAAAATAGCCTGTAAATCTACTAGTCTAGTCCAGAAAAGTCTTTCTGCAACCTACAAGAAGTAGGTCAATATATGACTACAATAAAGAAGATGGGGAAAGGGGGACTTCAGAGATAAGAGTACTGCTGAAATGTCTATAATGACTAATGATACAACCATAGAGTAATAACAGAGAAGTAAAGCTTCTTTGGTGTGGTAAAAAGTAGATAATTGAAAATTAGTATTAATATTTAGATAGACACTTAATATGGATTGTAAATACAGGATTGTATACTGTAGTACAATTCCAGTTCAGTAGTTTGTTTATGTTAATAAGAGTATGACCAAATTTTGCATTGTGAAAAAGTGCACAAACAATTCTTCTTGTAAAAATGTGAGTTTTTTTTCAAAATACCAAAACATTGTGCATGGCTAGACTTTTTTAGACCATATATCCCTTAACTTGTATTTGCTCAAACCATTTTAAAGGAGATATTTGTCAGGGGAAGAAACCAAGTTTGAAATAAAATGCAACACCATTGCTCTCAATTTTAGGTGAGAATAAAAATGAATTTACTGTATTGTTTAATATAAAATGTTTTAATATTTAACATAATTTAAAAAAAGAAGTCGTAATTAAAGATGCGTGCGCATCGTTTTTTTCAGTTCATTTGTTTATCATTTGTTAAATACCCATCCAGTTTGTGTTTTTTTTTCAGTACTTTGGTAAAAGTTTGAATTTTTGTTCTCAGAATAACAGGCGCGCAACTAGGGGTGGTAATGGGCGGGGGGCAAGCACCCCCTTTTTAAGAAGAGTTGAACAGAAGAAAGAATAAAAATGTTTGAAATAAGAATGTTATTCAAGTTTTAAGCTAAAGGCATGCCAATAGAAACTTAATATTAATGACAGAACTTTTAGGTAGTAAATTAAAAACCTACAAATTTGAAAATTGTCAAATGTTTGCAGTCAACATCTCTTTGAATAAAGAAAAAAAATCTAAAAATTTGTCAATTTCATAACCCCATAAAAGAAATACAATCACTCTTTATATACAAGTGTAGTGTTAGATACGTAAACATCTTGTGATGTTCACAACCAACCACTCTGTTAATTAATTAATAGGGAGGTCAGTTGTGTACATCTGAGGTTAGTTTACCTCTTTCATTTATTATTCTTTGGAAACAAGGGGTAAAAATGGAAATAAGAGCAGGTAAAGGGACAGTGGAGGCAAACTCCAACCCCTTGGTGGAGGTTGACATATGAGTAAGCTACTCTCTGGAATAGAAACTGAATAGCTTTATGAATTTAAATAAACACTTACTGAGCTCCATTTTCTAATCCACCTCCACATGCATATATTTCACCTTTCATTATAGCAAGACCTATTCAATACACAAAAATCATGTTTATATTATGCAGTAGTAGTGGAATATTTCTTGTTTTAACAGCTTTGTTGTTTCTGTTAACTGTCACCTGATTAGGCTAATTTTGTCAAATGTTGTTATGGGGGGGGGGGAATTTTTAACTTTAGTATAATATAGGGAAATATGATACTTGTTCCTAGTGCATAAAAAAATTAGACCTCTAACTTTAATAAGGAGGATTTTAAATAAAGTTAAAAAATCTTTGGGAAAATGTTCAAAATAATTATTTTTACTTTTGACATTATTAACATGTTACACATCCACTCTACTCTTAGCAAAAAAAAACAATTTTTTTGACAAAATTTGTTAACAACTATGATGTTTAAAACATTAAAAAGTTCAAGCATTTCATTGTAAGCCGTTTTTGAGTTAATTAGAAAAAACATTAGGGGGGGGATGGAAAACTCTGCCCCCCAATTGTGATAGGCTTAACATAGAGAAAAAAAAACCTCTCCTGTGCTTAATAAAAATAAAATGGGAGGAGGTGATTTGCAGAACCTTTTCCCTTTAATTTCTATTGTAATACTAATTTATAGAATTTCAAAAGTTCAAAACCGTTACAATGATAATTTACTCCCCCCTCCCACTTTAATCCTTAGTAAAATCAGAAGAACTTAGTTGGTTTTACATAAGGGTCAATATTTTATAGTGTACATGATTTACTTAAAAATCAGGTCAAAAATTAAGCTGTAAGGAAATTAGATATTTAAAACTGAAAGAACTTCTTACCAACATCCCCAGGAGAATCTGGAAATAAAGAAGTGAGGTAAATAATTTAAAACTGTGTTTAAGAAATTACATACCAGGTAGCTGTTTCCAAAATTCCGAATTACAGCGCGGATATGAGGAAGCCCCATTTCCACCTAACCCAAATAATGGTTATTAACCCTATCAAATGCATCAAGCAATATCAAGGAAGTTTAAATCAAATCTCAATTAAATGGTTTACCACTGCCTCCAAAATAGAGCATAGTTGGCACTCTGAAATAAGACCATTAGTCAAAAGTGCTACTATAAAACAATTAAGAATTAAAAATAGATAACAACCCACTAATACATTATTTAAAATACTGTCTTTTATTTATTTTTCAAGAAAACTTTTCTATTTACTGGTATTTAAAGAATGACCTTATCAAGCCATGCATAATTAACTATATTTTATGATTTGTCCTAAAGATCAATATTATTGCATTGAAATGATCAATTCTAACAATAAAGCTTTTCAAACTGCAGGAAAAAAAGTTGATAAATTTGGAGAAACTTTAAATGTAATTATATCAAATTTCAAATTACAGAGTCCCCTTCTCATATTAGATAATCTCCAAGCTTTGATGGCAAAATACTCAAATAATCCTTGAATAATTAGGCAAGAAATTTTAAATTAGCCTTATACATTTTTCTAAATGATTTATTTAATTTAATTTTCTGATAAGTCCCTTAATTTTCAAATTAGAGCTTTAAATGATCTAATATGATGAAGGACATCCTGAATTTTGAAAACAAATGAAAAATGAAAATTTGGAAACCTGCAAGTTGGTGGTACACCCATAGCATCACAATCTATCTAAATATTAAGCAGGCTGTCTAATCACCACATTAGACAAGAGTATTCTAACAAGGATTGGATTCTTTCCTTGAAATGAATAAATGCTATAAGCTACCTGATTTGGAACATGCACTTCTTTAGGAGCCTCAGGTTTAGCTGAAATAAGCAAAAAATTTGAAATTATTACTCTATATCATAACTTTAAGAAATACAATTAGATCGTAAATTTTAGATTTCTTTTCTTTAAATCTTTTCAGAATCCAAATCAAAACCTAGGTTGAAATGTTTGGTTGATGTTGTCAAAGAAAACAACATTAGATGTAGTATATCTTTTTTTTGAGAAGATGGACTTAAGAATGAAGCAACAGAAGTTTAACACTATGTACACTGGAAAATATTGAATTGCATTATTATGATATATATATATAAATTTGGCATGTCTGTCTGTTTGTCTGTCTGTTTGTTTGTATCCAATAAACCTCAAAACGACTGAACCGATCAGGCCCAAATTTTTTGTGGGACATTATGTGACCCTAGGGAAGGTTTATGAATGATCAAAATTTTAAAAATTTGCATTTAAAAGTTTTTTATTTAAGTAAAATTTTGAAAATGCGCGAAAAAATATTATGAAATCCGCAAACTTTTTTGTTTTTGTTTTATACTGTACAAAGAGAAGATGTTCAGAGATAAAGCCACAATTAAAAGTAGAAATAGATGATGGGCTCGAAGCGCCCTAAAAGCTTAGTTAACATAAATTTGTCTACAGTCTAAGCATACAAAGAAAACTAAGTAAAGTAATATTGACATTACATCCAACTAAATAAGATTATTTATAACAGTATTGCCGGCTCTACCTGGTCTTTTCCCACGTTTTCCACCTGATCCTTTTTTGCCCCCTCTACCTGGACCACCCTTTTTGCATTTAAAAGATTTCTTAGCAGTCCTGATACAGATTCCTCCCTATTTGTCAAAAAAATTAAAATTCTTCATGTGTATTTACATAACATAACACATGGTAGTAATTATTGAAGGAATGATCAAATTATCAGTCTTAATCCCTTTTATTGAAGATGTTTAGATACAAATTGTATACATATTACCAAAACCCATAGTTGTGTTGATTTACACAAAATTTATTCATTTTTGTTGGTGTACAAGCTCTTATTTACTGGAGTTTAAAAACAGGAATTAGGAATGGTTTAATGGAGCTTAAATGATAATCTGCAGGGTCATAGGTCATTCATTCAAAATGAAGGATCTCGTCAAGAACTGGTTAGGCTGTGGCTGTGTGAATAATTTAATTATAAATTTTAAATGAATCCAATGGTATCTAAACTGATATGTAGCCAAAAAACATATGTATACATTATACATCTATCTTAATAACCTTTTTTCTTTTTCAAGGATGAATAGTAATAGAGTCAAACTTGTTTAATTTCAGTGACTAAATTAATGGAACTCACTCTTTGACATCTTCGCTGCAGAGTATCTTTTTGACCGCAGAACAGGTCTTTCTTTATTTGTAATGATTTCTTTCCTATAGGAATTCAGTGTTTCAATGTAGAAAATAAATATTAATAGAATATAGAACAATTAAAATAAAGAGAACAAAATTGATTACCACTACATTCTGACCCACCATTCTGCAATATTTGATTGTTTAATTAAGAGATGGTTTATTTACTGACATGTCAGTGTACCAGCTTTAACAAGTAACATTATTAAAAAAAATGCCACTTTGATTATTTTTAATAGATTGGAGGAATTTTGCTGAAAAATTTATGTATAGAAACTAACTATGAATGTATGAATGTTTATGAAGAAATTGTATACTAAAAATGCCAAGTTAGCCAAATCTAAATGTTTTTACTAATTTAATTCTATATACAACTGTTACTTACCCTACACTACTGTTCAACCCTCCCACCCCTATGATAATGAATAAGATGTACCAATGTCCTACAGATTAGTCCGTTTCTACATTTTTCACCAATGGTTCCAGAATCCCCACAATCAGCTTCTAAATATTACAATGTCAAATTTTAAAAACTGGAAGAAAGAAAACTTTCTCAAATTTTTATCATCATTAAAATAGGGCATAAGGGTTGTGGAAATAAATAATAATATAATTACTTCTTCGCTCACCCCCTCTGCTTTTAATCAATACAACATTATCTTCTTTCCTGAACAAGTTGATATATTAGAACTCTTGTTTTATTAATTACAGAATTAAATATGTTACCCATATTGAGCTTCAGTATGTAATACGCAGATTAACAGCATTATTAATACCTAGAACAATTTATATGAAGTATACTGCACAGTATAGATTTTACTTAGTTTTACTTTTATTTTATGCATAAAATTTACTCAATGTGTTTAATATTAATGAGAAATCCTCTGATGTATTAGATTATTCAGCCTAATAGAGGCCACAGGGGGCACTGGTTTTTCATCATTTAAATTTGTTCTTCCTATTCGATTTGATCATATAACTTGCAATAAAAAAGTATTTTCAAAGTTGTAATTTGATGATTCTGCTTTTCAGAGTAAAGGCAATAATGGCCTCCCTGTGAAACAGGGTTCAGAATATCTTATCAAAATTTTTTAACTATTAAAGCAATCAAAAAGATATTTTTAAATTGAAATTTTTAAGATCTCTTCACATTAAACTGATTTAAAAAAAAATTTCTTGACAAATCTTCCAAGGATTTTCTTTGCGCCATTTGATTGGACATTTTATTTTTAGGTTAATAGTTGTAATTGTAAGTTCCTTATCAGGGAAATAAATTTCAATGATTTTCTAATATAAATTCAAAATCAAAATCGTTTAAAAAATGAGGCTCTTAATTATAATTTATCTAAGGATTTTGAAGTTGCAAGGTTTTGTTTGCACCATTTTATCAGCCACCTTCTATATATAAATTTGGCTTGTCTGTCTGTCTGTCTGCTTGTTTGTATCCAATAAACGTCAAAACGGCTGAACCGATCGGGCCCAAATTTTTTGTGGACATCTAGGGACCCCAGGGAAGGTTTATGAAAAATCAAAATTTCAAATATTTGTCCCTATCAAAAATCGATCGTCATTAAATTTTTAAAAATTTTGAAAATCCGCGAAATTTTTTGTAAAAATCCGCGAATTATTTTTGTTTTGTTTTACGATGTACACAAAGAGAACATGTTCACAATTAATTTAGAAGATGGGCGCGAAGCGCCCTCTAAGGC